AAGACCCTCCCCGAGGAAGGACGGGGAGCGGCCGGGGGTGCCGCGGCCTCCCTCGACGTCGCGGCCGACCTGCGGGACAGGGTGCGTATCCCCAATGGGCTCAAGTCGCTCTTGTATCCCGCCCTTGGACGGGCGCTCCATGCCCTGCAGAGCGGCCCGCGACAACGCGGTGGCCGCGGCAGCCCGGAGCAGTGCGGGGATCCGGCCTGCGGGCCCTGGTCGCTTTTCGCTTGGCCCTGGAGATGCCTCCTTCGCCTGTGCGGGCTGCTGTTGGCTGGGAGGTGCCGGGCAGGTTCTGATTTTTCTCACTTTTTTGGAACCAACCAGAGAAAACAGATCTGTGTGGGTTTTCTTGGCCATGCCTGTGTGGTACCAAGCATCAAGGAGCTCTTATGTGCTTTCTAGATAACTTAACATTCGGTAGCATGACAATAAAACACTTGTATTTTATATGTAGCAATGGATAGTTTTTGTTTTTTCTTTTCTTTTTTTTTTTTTGACTAGCTTGTTGCTAGTATCATCTAGTATGATTCAAATGCTCCTGTAAGAGCCCTTTCCACGGAATCTAAGCTCTTAATCCTTTTAAGATTTGCATATGTTTTTCTCTCCTTTGATTGCAAAAAATGATATGTTTCAAAAGGAAAACCTAAATATTTAACACTCTTGAGTGTTGCTTGTCATATTCCAGTAGTTAATCTGCTCAAAATAGTAGCAAACTTTAGGCCTATTAAGGGAAAAAAATGTAAAAATAAGGATAAGGTACCTACTGTCTCCATTTTTATTGAGAACAAGTCAAACATTGCTAGCACCTACAAATAGTTAAGAACAATGTTTTCCTTTCTCTTTATTATTTAAATGATCTAGCTGATAATTAAAACTCTGCCCAGGAAGTGGAGATGTCTTGTTATCTGATATGCACAGTTGACGTGTGGTATTAAACAGCAGCTGCAATTCAATGGTGAATGAAGTGATTCTTACGAAAACACCATCCTTCATCTGGCCGAAAATGCTGGATACATCGTATCAAGATTCATTTACGAAATGTTGGCAAGTTTTTTCTTTAGAAGTGGCTACGTTCCTGTGTCAGTGAAATAATTAATGTATAATTTAATTTATAAATAATACTTTATAAATACATTATATTCAACCTTAAGTATAAAATAATTCTAGATAATATATCGTTTCATTATGTTTCCTAGAGAATTTGGGATTCTTTGTGGCTAAAGATGTTATGTGGAAAATGAGCTTGATGTGATATTTAATAAATGTTTCCCCTAAGTAAATTAGGGAGCTGATGGAAATATTTGAGTTTTCAGTATGCAACTGAAAATGCATTCAGGCCATTATTTTATTAAAATAAATATTTGAGTTTTCAGTATGCAACTGCATATTGCATATTTTATTAAAACGTTGTGTTAAGAATACATTCTCTTATTAAAACAGTGTAAGAAAATCTTATGCTATTGAAATCTGTACCTGATGGGTTTGCTGAAGCTGATATTATGGCCAGCGAGCTGAGAGGATGACAATTTGGCACCGATGGGTAGATCTAGATCAGCCCTCATATCTATGTTCTGTAACATATTTGGCCCTTTCTAGGAACAGGACAATTAAACCAGTGCAGCACATCTTCTGGCTTGTCCAGACCTGACTTTCTGTTGCCTCTAAATGAACCGTATGTGTATTAATGTGGCGGAAGAGGAGACTGTATAATGTGTAGATAATGTGGTGATGAGTAGCATAGGAATAGACCTAGATAAATGCCTGGTAAGGCTGAAAAAAGATAAGATTGTTCCACTGTGTATTGTTTTTGAATTGCTTCTTAATTTACCCCTGGAGTCCCCATATTATAATCTGCTGCACAGTTCTACATGAAACTGTTCATTTTTGAAACAGTGACATTTAAAAAGAAACCATAAAAGTCCTTTCACATGCAGGCTGCAGTTCAATGAACTGGATGAATGATCTTTCCACATACCCACGGGCATGCACAGCTGAATATAGATCATCCAGAAAACCTGCCAGCCTTGCATGCTGAAATCTGGGTGCTCCTTCCTCTGTCTGAGTTCAGGTTCTGCTCAGAGAATTGCAGTTGCAGATGCTTGCAATGCTATTAAATGGCTCTGATCAAAAGCAATCACAATGAATAACCTTGTTTTCTTTTTCAGTGAGTTTTGTGAGTGTCCAAATAGGCAGGCTTTGTAAGGTAGGCTGGATACAGAGGAATAGGAGGAATGTGACAGCTGTACATACTGTACACTGCAGGTGCCAGTGAGAGAACCATGTGCTGTTTAATAAAATGGGAGCTTGGAGTTAACAAACCTGGATGTCTCCTGACTGCCCAGATATTTCAGTAGAAAAGGCTGAACCAGTGTAGAGCCATGGGCTGAAACTGGCAAACCATCCCCTTACAAACCTGCTTTGTGCTGGTAACAATGTGCTGTTGCTAGGGGAGTTTCCTGAGCAAAATGCACACGAGTTCTTTCACGCTGCTCCCAATCCCCTGCTCAGTTCAGGCTCTTGCCGCTGTGGAGTTTGACCTCCAGACATAATTATACCAGCCCAAGTGTCTGGCCCAGACAACAGGCAGAAGACGCGGGGGAGAAGAGTGCCTGTTTGCTTGGCCTGCGCAGCCACGGGCTGTCGTGAGCAAAGGGGTCAGCAGTGGCCCAAAGGGAACCTGCAGGATTGAGGGGGACCTCAGAGTTGAGGAAAGAAGGAGCCTTTGTGCTCCTCTCTGCCCAGACTGGGGCAAGGGATGGAGAAAGGAGGTGTGGAGAGGCCTGCAGGCAGCTGCCCAGCAGAGCAGCAGTGACAGCTCTAGGCATGAGCTGCCAGCAGACTTTTATTTGCCCCAGGCATGTGCAAAGCTGCTCAAACTTACCAGTTTTAGATAGTTCCCATATTTTAGATGCTAACAGCTTTGAAGTCAGGGCTGTAATGATACAAGCAATACTAGTAAATATATTTTTTTTTGGGAAAAAAAAAAAAGTCCAAGTGTAGCCTCATCTTGGTAGCAGGGCAGGAGGGTGGGGAGGTGCTTGAGCAGCAACGAGGGTTTGTCCTCCTATTCTGAGGATGCTTTTGCCATGTCCCTCGGTACCGGTGGCTCATGTCACCGTGGGGGCTGATATCTTTGGTGACAACAGGCCAGGCAGGACTGTGGGCTCTGCTGCTGGGCAGGATTTGTATTTCCACGGCCCTGGCTGTGTCAGGGGCCTCAGCAAGGTCCCCAGAGGCAGCAAGGACAAAGGATCGAGAGCCTTGGAAACAACAAAGATCAAGGGAAGCGAGAAGCCAAGTTCTAAAAAGCAAAGCATTCGGTGTGCTTAGTCATGGATACACGAACGGAGGAGGGATGGCAGAGACCTATTTTCATCCTAAAACTCCCCCTCACGTCGCAGACTTGCTTGGTGGTGTTTGGTGTTGAGATAACATCCCCTTCCCCCACCACCCACACATTACTGAAGGAGCAGCCGTTGCAAAAGGGAAGAGGGAAATAAATAAAAAAAAAAGAGGCAGTTGCCTTGCTCTGCCTGCAGGAGAAATGTCAGGAAGTGTCTGATGGTGGGTGGGATGAAAGGAGGAAGCTGAACTCAAAAGAGAATATTCTAGCTCTGCCCTTGCAAACAAATGCCCCTCTGTATTTTGCTTGATAAGAACACAGAGCAGCAGGGTCAGTTACCAGCGGGGCTCACAGCGGTGTGATTTGTGTTTGCTGCATTACCAAAGCACGCTGTGAGCTGGAAGGTGAAAAAATGTAAGCAGCCAGGAAGAAATAAAAACACCATAAATTTATTAACCATAAATAGTTAATAGTCTCTTATTGTAATAGGAATGATCCAGGCCAGGAAGAAATAAAAACACCATAAATAGTTAATAGTCTCTTATCATAATAGGAAGGATCCAATATTAATTATAAAGTTGTTTTCTATTTGGATGGATTTATGGGTGTTTATGAAATTTGGACCTGAATTTAACTTCGGTGCAATCATGCTTTTATTATAATTACAAATCACTGTAAATCCATTCTGCATCTTCTCATCTAAATAACAGGTGAATTTTAAATTTCAGAATCTCTCTTCTAAGATCTAAGTTAATATTCTTGGGATTCATATGTATATATTTTTAACTGCGTAGTTTGTCTCATCAGAAGATACTACCTGTCCCTATATATCTCCCATGCCTTGCAGCCCTAGACATTTACACGTGTCCCAGCACTGCTGATGAGCCATGTCAGCACTTTTGCCAGCAAAGCTGTACCATATAAGCTGTAGTGGTTGAATGCTTCTACCATTTTCATGTTATGGATTTTTTAAAAAATTCTTATGATTATCTCTGTCTGTTTCCAATGTTCCCTCTTCTTGTGAGTTCTGTGTTTTGGAAGTAACAACGGATAGAAAATATACATAGAAGATGTTGCCAATAAACTTTCTAGAAGGTTATGGCAGTGTGAAGAAATATTGTGGTGAGTCTGCTCACTTTTTTCTGCCTCACATTCTTTGCATAGGCAAACATTAACCAAAGCAGCGATTGAGAGCTGCTGGAATTTTTGCAGAGTTAATGTATGTGTTTTTCCTTGGGCCTTTGTTTCCTTCTCTGCAAGAATGAAGAATAGGCTTATCTTTAACAACTACCTTCCATTCTCATCACATATTTATTGTCAGGGACAAAATTTGAAATTCTCTTAAGAGAAGGAATAATGTTGTTAATTGTAGGGCTGCAGAATACATTTTAGTTATGAATGTCTTTCTCAAAGGCATGTATAGATTGATGGAAGCAACCTTGCTGCGTGCTTCCTGCAAGCTTGTGAGCATCCTTTGCTCCAGTTGACTCCTGGAAATGGAAGGCTCTTGGAGCCTCCTAGAAGTCAAACCTGGCTTGTTCAAGCGTTCCTTTGGCCCACGTGCCTGCTGTGTGCAAGCACCACGCTGGCCACCAGCAGAACTGCCCTGAGAGCCGAGGAAGCCGCAAGGAGGCAAGGGCCGGTTGTTCCAGTGCTCACCGAGCTCCTCAGTCATCGGGTGCCTTTCCTTGCCATGCCAGAAACCGTGTGTGGGACCTTGAACAAGCTGCAGGACTTCCCTGCCTCGGAGCTGGCTTTTAGCTAAGGTATGAAGTTAAACATGTTAAAGGTAATGAGACACTCGGATACAATGGCAATTGGAGCTGCATGATACAAATGATAAGTAGCTGTACCTGCTATCTCCACCTATAACAGCAGTGTATAACGTTTCCTTCTTGGTTTCCACAAGTCCACTGATTGTCTTTCCAGGCCCAGTGCTTGTGTGACCCATCCTGACTCACAGCAAACCTTCCCTTACAAACACTGGAAGCCAGAGCAGTGGCAGGAAGGCCAATGAGGCTCCACATTTCTGCTGCAAAAGAACTCTCAGAAACTTAAGTTATAGTTTGAGGAAATTAGAATGGAAAATCCTTATCTCGATCCATCCTTTCCTGGCTGAGAGAATACAGTCTCTTGTAGAACTGTGAACTTTGGGGTTCTGTAATGTTCAGCTTGCAGACCTCCAATTTTGCCTTTTTTGGAGACTCTTGAGCCTAATTCTGATCTCCTTTATTCCAGAAAAAAGTCAGGATTATAGCCAGGGAAATCAATTATTTTACTGTGCAAAGACAATCAACCCCTCCCTCCCTGCAGTCTTTGTATTTGCTTTGCTATCACTGTCATCTCCTATCTGGCCCTGCAGTACTCACTCTTCTGGGTTAAAAACTGGCCTGCAGGCATGTTTGTCATGGTGTACAAGAAAACAAAACAAAACCGCTTGGAGAGCAGATTTAATCAGTGCTGAGGCAGGGAGTGAAACAGTGCAGGAGGGAGAGGCCAGCTCTCATCATGCAGCGGCACAGGGAGGTTGCTGAGCTCTGCTGTGCGCCCGTGGCCGTGCAGCAGCTCTCAGACCTCCTTCCATGCCGGCTCTCGGCTCTGTGCGCCAGATGCTGTGGATATTTTACTTCCTCCTCCCTTCTTTAAAAGGTGACACTCTTACTCATAAAACTGTAGAGCCCCAGTGTAATGAAGCTGTTCTGTAGAAATCC